ATATATAATATTTATAATAAGCTAGTCAGAAACATTTAAAAACATTTTTATTCTACTAGGAATGTGAGTCATTTTTGCATATCATTTATTAATTAGGTAAGTTAATTAACATCTCTGGACCTCAGATTTCTTATGCATGGAATGAAGTACATTTGCCTATATCAAGGATCTGTCAACTACAGTCTAAGAGCCAAATCAAGCCCACCATTATTTTTTTTTTTAAATAAAGTTTTATTGGAAGATACCCACATACAGTAGTTTATCAACTGTCTATGGCTGATTTTACATCACAGTGGCACAGCTGAACAGCTGCAACAGAGACCACACAGCCTGCAAAACCTGAATTATTACTGTCTAGCCCTTTACTGAAAAAAAAAGTTTACTGATTCCAGTTCTAAATCAGTTTCCCAAACCTCAGTATATATAAAAAGTGTCAGTGACATATTGCAAAATAAATACAGTAACAATCATGAAATACAAACACACAGAGGTTTAACAACTTAAAATTTGTATAAAGGACTGCTCCCATTTGATTATTTCAGTCCTACACTTTTGTTGTTAAAATGTGAAATGATACTGGCAGTAAATGGCAGTTTTCTTTAAAGGTCTTCTTGGCAAAATTATAAATTTAATAGTCATGTGTGTCTTCTACTTTATTTTACTCTACTTTTAATTCATTTTACTTGTCTATGATGTGAAACCAATGGTGCAGTCAATATTTAGATTTCTTCTCATTGTTTGAACCTAAGCACAATATGTAACAGACTTACTATAAGAAACTGAATGGCAGGAAGAGTATCTTAATACCTGTATTCCACAAAGTAATTAGCACACTGCCTGTCTTCTAAGAAAAGTTGAAAACCTTGAATTTTCCACAGAAACAATAATAAACATGGCCAGGCACAGTGGCTCATGCCTGTAATCCTAGCACTTTGGGAGGCCAAGGCAGGCGAAATGCCTGAGCTCAGGAGTTCGAGACCAGCCTTGGTACATGGTGAAACACCATCTCTACTAAAGTGCAAAAAATTATGTATCATAAATTATGATTCATTCCAAAAAGAGAATATTATGTAGCTTTGAAAAGAAATGAGAGAAGTTCTATAGATAATGAAATAGAAAGATGCCTATGAATATAGTATGAGAGGAAAAAAATAAGCAGGAAGTTCTATTATTTAGACTACTATTAATATTCTGTGTCGATTTTAGTTTAACAAACTTGTTAAATATAAATGAAAAAAATACATATCAAACTGTTAAATGTTATTTCTTTAAAGGGTGGGAAGGGAGAGAAACTGGCTATTTCAACTTTATGCACTCTAAATTATTTAATTTTTTTTTTTTTTTTAAACAGAGTCTCACTCTGTCACCCAGGCTGGAGTGCAGTGGCATGATCTCCGCTCACTGCAACCTCCGCTTCCTGGGTTCAAGCAATTCTTCTGCCTCGGCCTCCGAAGTAGCTGGGACTACAGGTGTCCGCTACCACAACCAGCTAATTTTTGTATTTTAAGTAGAGACAGGGTTTCATCATGTTGGCCAGGCTGATCTCAAACTCCTGACCTCGTGATCCACCTACCTTGGCCTCCCAAAGTGCTGGGATTACAGGCGTGAGCCACTATGCCCAGCTTATGTAAATTTTTATCATTAATTTACTTTCTTTCATAATGAAATATTTTAAAATTGTTTTTCTAATATTAAGAAAACTAGAGAAACTAATATTTTAATCTACATGATAAACTGACCACTTGATGTCTACTGGATCTGCATGAGAATTTACTGGGGAAGAAAGCATATCTATGAAAGGGAACAGACATCAGTAATATCTGAGATACAATTATACCTCAATATACTACTTTTTCATAAAAATGAATAAAAATGGTATATATCTAATAGAAATAAAGTCAAAATGTTATAATATTGTATATTCAAATCTGCACATTATGTCCCTACCAGTAAACTCATCATTACTGTCTCTATACATATTATACAACAGTATTAACAGCAATAAAGAGGGCTGGCACAGACTTACAGCAGGAAATTTAATGATGACATTTTCTGAGTAAAGTGATTTGCATAATCGCTAAGTAAAAAGCAGGTTACAATTCAGTAAGACATCTTTAAAAATGATTTTGTAAATTAGAAGACTAATTGTATTCCCTTTGCAACACAGAAATTAAAGGGAGATACTGTCCATTTTAGCATGTTTATGCTGAATAATAATCCATTTTCTATTAAAAACTTGTAGATAGTAACAATCCGTTTTTTGTTTTTTTTTTTTTGGAGACAGAGTCTCGCTCTGTCACCCAGGCTGGAGTGCAGTGGCGACTCACTGCAACCTCCACCTCCTAGGTTCACGCCATTCTCCTGCCTCAGCCTCCTGAGTAGCTGGGACTACAGGCGCCTGCCACCACGCCCGGCTAATTTTTTGTATTTTTAGTAGAGACGGGGTTTCACTGTGGTCTCGATCTCCTGACCTTGTGATTCGCCCGCCTTGGCCTCCCAAAGTGCTGGGATTACAGGCGTGAGCCACCGCGCCCGGCCCATTGTTACTCTTAAAAATTATTACTTGGATTTAAGTTTTCAGAATAAGGACCTAGAATAAAGGCACTAAAATTACATAAAAATGGTGACAAAGGTAAGCCCAAGGATTACACAAGGAATATTCAACAGCACTTGCAATATGCGGTCGAAAATTGGGTGATATATACATATATAGTGTAACTTTAAAACTCACATATATGTAACACATTACTGTTCTGAAAATATCAAATTTCATAGTCATGATACAACTTAATAAAGCTGAGTTAAATAAACATATTTGAGCCATTTAGTAAGGTTATATAAAATGCAGTATTAATCCCTTATCTGCACTTTCAGTTACCTGCAGTCAATCATGGTCTGAAAATATTAAAACAAAAGATTCCAGAAATTAACAATTCATAAGATTTAAATTGCAAGCCATTCTGAATAGCATGATAAAATCTTGCACTGTCCTGCTTCATGTCACCAGGGATGTGAATCATCCCTTTATCCAGTGTATCCATGCTGTATATGCTATATGCCAATTAGTCACTTAGCAGCCCTTTTATCAGATTAAAAACAAAACAAAACAAAAAAACCCATGGTATATATAGCGTACTATCTCAGATTTCAGACATCCATTGGAGGTCTTGGAATGTATTCCCTGAGGATAAGTGAAGACTACTGCATATCACTTTGAAATAGCAGTTTCCCAAGACAATTATCAACCAAGGTAACAGAAAGCTTTTCCCTTCTCTAAAAGAAGTAAAGCCGTGGAACATTTGGTTGCTTTGCCTATTTCACCTCAAAACTGAAGAAAAACCTTCTTGGACTACTTGAATCAAATCAATTCTGCTGTAATCTTAACTGAGACAATCCCAATTTTAGGAAACTGGTTAATGGATAAGTTACCATGTTACATTAAGATTATTTAATACGTTTTTGCTTTGTTGGTAATATAACAGATCAATACTTACTGAACCTCAAAATTTAATTTTTCTACTATCTACTAATTTTATCCCTTATTATTCACCTTCCATGGAATAAAAGAAATGTAATACGCAGTAAAAATTTGTTAAATGAAGTAAGTAATTTTTATCATTTTTAGTTCAGCATTGGCGCATATGCCAAATATAATCTTGGCAACCCAGCTCTCTCTAAATAAAAAACACTTTTAATTTTTCAAGGCATTTTCATTGGAACTAATACCCAAAACCTCCCCCATGCCATAGATCTTACCACAATTTTGCAGAGAACCACAGGTTCACTGAGTTATATTCAGTTATGGCATGTATATTCTCCATGTGCCTGCCAGTCACTGTTCTAGGGGCTGGGGATATAGCAGTGAACAAAACAAAAATCTCTACTTTCATGGAAATTGCATTCTAGTAAGAAATACATTAACAAAATCTTTAAGGTGGAAAGTGGTGGGAAATATTTGGAGAAAAAGAAATTGTGAAAGGAAGATAAGGTATATTCATGCCATTGGCAAAACTCCAGTAAAAATCTAGGTAACAGTGAACTGGTGGAAGATGTCAGAACTCTGAAACATGATTCTTTCCAGTAGAATTATCAGCTTGTAAAGAAGGTGTCATTAACTAAATATATTTCTATAATACTTTTCTTGTAAGCCACCATCTAAAAAGTACCTTTTCTTTTTTTTTTTTTTTTTGAGACGGAGTCTCACTCTGCCACCTAGGCTGGAGTGCAGTGGCGCGATCTCAGCTCACTGCAAGCTCTGCCTCCTGGGTTCACGCCATTCTCCTGCCTCAGCCTCCCGAGTAGCTGGGACTACAGGTGCCTGCCACCACGCCCGGCTAATTTTTTGTATTTTTAGTAGAGATGGGGTTTCACCGTGTTAGCCAGGATGGTCTCAATCTCCAAGCCCACCTTGGCCTCCCAAAGTGCTGGAATTACAGGCATAAACCACCGCGCCCAGCCAAGAAACTACTTTTAAAGCTGGGCAGACTGGCATGTGCCTGTAGTTCCAGCTACTTGGGAAGCTAAGGCAGGATGAGTGCTTGAACCCAGGAGTTGAAGACCAGCCTAACATAATGAGACTCCCATTTCTGGGGAGGGGAAAAAAAAAAGTAGCTTTCAAGAAAGAACTGTTAGCAGCATGTTATTTAAAAATCCTTCTTACCACTAAACCTCATTGTATAAACTGACCCACCAAGCAACAAAATCAAATAAACACAAAAAACTGGCAGAAATGTCTTGACTTTTGCTACTTACCATAAGCATTGGGGAAGTCCCCAGGTCCTGGTCCAGGATAAAAAGGACCTGGCCCCGGTGGTTGAACTGGATATTGTTGTGGGGGCCCAACATAAGGAGGGCCACTATGACGGTACTAGAAAAGAGAAAGTATGAACATATAAATAATACAGTCTCTGGGACCAAAAACCATAATAAAATAATAAGAAGAAGAAAGTAGCTTACTACAGAAAGTAAAGTTCTCTGTGTAAGAGAATCATTTAAATGAGGTAAAGCCATTGGGTCAAACACATTCAAAATGCTTGCTTGCCATCAAGATACAATGAGAATGACGAGAAAGGTGCAGCTTAGTAAAGCCATACAACATATCAGCACACAGGCAGACATCAGCTCACTGTAAAATAATCTCAGGCTGATAACTTTTCAATGACATTAAAGGATTTCAGGAACAGCATAATCACTGAGCCCATTTTAGAGCAGTTGGTTGTGGTGAGTGGAAGGGAGAAAGCAAGTAGATAAAAACAATTTCTCTGTCATTTTTTAAAAATTTAAGTAAATAGATGTAGAAATATCTTCACACAGCATAATGAAAAAATCACAAAAGGGCTAATTTGTAACCAACAAAACAGTTCACATGTCACCAAAAACTAATGCCATAATTCATCCTCCCAGCTCCCTCTGATGAGAATCTGGGTTAATTCCCACTCTACTGCTGGACCACCTAGGCCTCAAAGATACTTTACCTGTGGTATACAGTACTGAGGCCCCTGGGGCACTGGGTACGGCATGGGCAGATGGTTAACCATCATGATGTGCTGATTAGCCTGGTACACTGCAGTGGGTGTCTGTGCACCAGGACGAATGGATGGACTGCTGTTCGGGATGGTAGCTCTAGGAGGCTGTATTTGAGGCCTCTGGAAAAACTGGGAAGGGGAGAAAAAAAAAAATTTTTTTTTTCTTTCTTTTTTTTTCTTTTTTTTTTTTTTACAAAGGGGAATATATAAATTTTACTGTCTCCTTTTCTTCACTAATAAAAATCTGGTCAACTTGAATTACAAATACAATATGCATAAAAAGAATAAATTACCTATTGCTGGATTTCCAAAAATACACCATACGAGGGCGAGCTCTTATCAGTATTATCACATATTTCAAAACAGTAGGATAGTTTCGACCTGACTGTATATATACATATGTATAGATGCATACATATATGTATATACACATACTGTATATATATACACATACATGTATAATAAAGTATAACAAAAGGGGTAGCTGATATTTCTCTATTATATAAAAGAACTGACTCTGATAAAGAGTTGGTTCATTACCAACTCATTAAAAATTAAAAGTAGTCTCCTAAAAGACGGCTGCTCAAGTAATTTATAAAATACTTAGAACAAGAAGGAATCTCTTTGATCATAAAATATTTACCCAGTCCATCAGGGTCAAGCTAAATTAAACCATCTGTAGGGTTGTCACATGCTGAACTAAGCAGTTTTTTTCCTCTCCAAAAGGTGGCACAATCCTATACTAAACTGAGCCTTCTAAAATAGTTTATAATAAAAGTGGACAATCTAGATAGGCCTAAGAATGGACTAGAATGAGTAGAGTTCAAATTTCTCAAAATGGCAACCAGTATCTGTAGTTATTTATAATTTTCACTGCAGGCTTAAAAGCCTTGAAACAATATACCAATAGTAAATTTCTAATGTGAATGTATCCATTCATTAGCAATCAATCTCAATGTAATAATAGTAAGCAGACTGAGTTATAAAGAGGCCATGCAGAACCAGTAGTTTGTTACCTGGATAGGTCTGAATCCTCCCTTCAAATATGAAGCAAGAAAGCAGCAGGAAACAGAAAGAAAGCCAATGGAAAAGCTTACAGATCAGTTGGAAGGGACAGGACATAGCATGCAGCTCAACAAAAGTATCTTTCTATTTAGTAATAATAGGAGAAGAAAGAAGACTAGAAAATCAAAATGACAGTTCTTCACTTGAGAATTTAATCACACATAGAATCAAAGAATCAAGTCACATTTAACTGAAATCCAGTGGCAAAAATCCTCGACTATTATTAATAGCCACAAGTTACAGCAGTGTGCAAGGAAATGTCTGCTTGGTGGCACAAGTATAGTTGTGTGATTACTGGTTCCTACTCTTGGATCTCATTAGCACCCATTTCATGATCTGGCATTGTCTAGCATCTCTATGATCTACTCGCCATCTGTGTCATTTGTTATTTTTGTAAAAGTCCTAAGAAATAAACTTTTCAATATATATTAGACTCTTCATGACAGAGACTTGCTCGCTCTTTTTAACTAATCAGGTACATAAGAGGGCACTTATAGCTCTAAAATGGAGAACTATAATAACAATCTTAAAATATGGTCTTGCACCAAAATAAATAAAGCAGCAAAATATTTGTTGCTATCAGTCCAAATAAAGCCAAGCTTCGACCTTTGGGCCCACTCTGGTCTATTCTGTCCTACTCTTAGGCATCAAGCTACCCAGAGATGGTATAAGTAACTTCATCTTGTGCTCAAAAGGAAGAACTGGGATCTAGTGTCCAAGGCTCATCCCCATTCAGCCTTCATATCCCAGGGCAAAGAAGGCCCTAAAGAAATTAAGTCACAGAAAAACAACAGCCAGAAAAGTATAGCAGGAGAATGGAATAAATGGGGGAAACCAAAGGGGCAGGCCACAGAGAGTAGGTGATGGAGATGAAAAGAAAGCACAGGAGGCAAAGTTGGTAACATAGGAACCTGGGCTGCACTACAACTACAGGAACCATCTTCTAGTTATCTCCACTGACACAGTTTTGGTGACAACATTTTTTTTTTTTGGCAGGAACAATAAAGCAGTAAACCTCCCAATACTGGACTGCATTTCTCCTAATTACGAAGCAGAGAGAATCTATTATGCATCAATGCATGTGATCTGTGAACACCATTTCAGGAACAAACTTAAGTATTTTTATAATGTAGCTAATATCAGGAGCCACAAAAATGATACAAGCCTCAAGCAGAGAACACTCATTATCTGTTCAACTTATTGGGCATCACTAAATAACACAGGCAGAGGGTAAAATCTTCATACTGAAAGATCCTTTGAAATCAACTGTAGAGGGCAGCCCAGCCAAGATAAAGGGCATATCAAATGAACACAGGTGATCATCTATTATGGTAACATTATCATGAAATAATATTAAAATACTCTATGTTGACAGAATAAATAGGGTGTTACGGGGTTGGTAAGGAGAGGAGAAAGAAAACTAATCCATTAACTTATGCAGAGTAAGAAAAATAGATACGGGCAATGTTTTCCAAAAATTTTAACAGTCTGTATGTGAAATCTTTTCTTACCCTATTTTCCAGTTGTTCTGATGAAACTTTTAACTAGCCGGTCCAGAATAACTGAGGTTACATCTTATTCAAGGTTTCTGAACAGTATGAAACTATTTTCCTCAGTGACTTTCAAGTAAAAAGTGTTTCTAATAATATTCCTAATATTAATACATAGCTGAACCAAAAAGCCATTAAATATGTGGTTATATTGATATAATAATTTTTTTTGGTTTTTTTGTTTGTTTGTTTGTTTTTTGGAGATGGAGTCTTACTCTCCCGCCTAGACTGGAGTGCAGGGGCATGATCTTGGCTCACTGCAACCTCCACATCCTGGGTTCAAGCGATTCTCCTGCCTCAGCCTCCTGACTAGCTGGGACTATAGGCGCCTGCCACCATGCCTGGTTAATTTTTGTATTTTTAGTACAGACGGGGTTTTACCATATTGGCTAGGCTGGTCTGGAATACCTGACCTTCTGATCCACCCACCCTGGCCTCCACCAAAGTGCTGGGATTACAAGCATGAGCCACTGTGCCCGGCCAATATACTAATTTTTATACACTAAGAATTCAGATTTGAAGCTAAAGAGAAATGTATTTATAAAGCACCAACCTAAGCATTTTACATATATATACACACATATACACACACACACACATATATATACATACTTTTTTTTTTTTTTGAGACAGAATCTTGCTCTGTCGCCAGGCTGAAGTGCAGTGGCATGATGTCGGCTCACTGCAACCTCCACCTCCCAGGTTCAAGTGATTCTCCTGCCTCAACCTCTTGAGTAGCTGGGACTACAGGCGCCCGCCACGACGCCCAGCTAAATTTTTGTCTTTTTAGTACAGACAGGGTTTCACCGTGTTAGCCAAGATGGTCTCGATCTCCTGACCTCGTGATCTGCCCGCCTTGGCCTCCCAAAGTGCTGGGATTGCAGGTGTGAGCTACCATGCCCGGTCAACATATATATATTAACTCATGCTCACAAATGACCTTGAAGGCAAGTACTATTATTAACAGGTCGTAAGATACATGTAAAAACTGAGGAACAGGGAGATTAAATAACTCGCTGAAAGTCCCCCGCCATCTGTAACTAAAACACAGTCAGGTTATAGACATGTACTTTTAACTGTTACACATACTACCTCTCATGAAATGGAATACCCCCATATTTTTAAACAAACCAGCAGAAATCTTTTCTTTACAAATGCTGAAGGGATGTGGCACGACCTTTATCCAACTACACTAATGGGTGGCATGTCCCTCAACCATAACTGATTCCTAGTAAGAAAAATTTTCCATCAAGTTACTTCACAAAATACATGCTTATCATTCAAGAAAACAAATTTCTTCTACCTACACAACTCTAATTCTCTGTCTCCCAAAAAGTGACTGCAACTTGTTCATGTGCGAAAAGCATATCCTTGGCATACCATGTTACAGACTTACTTTTGCTCAACTTCACTGCATTAATACTTTTTAGAACAACAGTCCATCTGGAGCTTGTGTTTTCCATGTAAAAGTACGGATCACTTACACACACACACACACGCGCACCAGGAGAGATTCTAGAAAAGCCGTAGTAACTAGAAATGCAAAAAAAAAAAAAAAAAAAAAAAAAAAAAAAACTCCTTTTTGTACTCCTCCCGAACCATTCAATTACAAATGCATAATTAAATTTAATAGTAATGCAAGAAATTCAGATTCTCAGTTGGGCAAGCATAGCAATAAACCACAGGTTATTAAAAGGAATATATACATGGGCTTTTCCAAACTGCTTGCAATCCTTCAAATTTCTTTCCTTCTCAGCTGAGTGATGAACAATCATTAAGAGTCAAACTCTCCTGAATGGAAGGAGCCATTTAGTCTCACCATCCACTTAAAGTCTGAATATCTTTTACAATATACCACTGGGGATATGAAACTTTAGCAACTTAAGATACAAATTCTTTTCAAAATTAAATGGAGTTCTAACACTGTAAAACTCTTCCTTCTACTGACCCCCAATTTTTCTCCCTGTATCACCTATCCACTTGTCTCACGTCCCTTCCTAAAACCACAAAGAAGTCTAATCCTTCCCCGTAAGTGACAGACCACTAAGTCATGTGAACATTGCCATTACTGCCAATTTCATCCACCTTGGCCTCCCAAAGTGCTGGGATTATAAAGGCATGAGCCACCGTGCCTGGGCCATTACTGCCAATTTTCACACCACTATTTTTTGTTTCAAGCCAATCATAACCCTCTCCTAGCATCCTGTCTCTCCAACCAAGATTTCTAATTCCCAAACCAGCTTGATCTTTTCTTTCAATCTTGTTCCAACACAAAGGTAACGAGGTGGGGTCTGCCCAGAATGTACTTGGCACTCACCAAAAAAAATTTGTTCCTGAGTGAAAGGGCAATATACCTCTCTGATTCCTGCCAGCTCCAATTCCATTAATGAAACCAAGAACCACAGGAGCACTTTTGTCAACCATATTTTACTACTGATTGGTACTGACACTCATTTAAAGCATTTAAATCCTCTTTATACATAACCTGGCTAAATAAGCCATGTTCTTCACTTCAGTGTGTACTCTTACAATTGTGTTTTGAAGCTCATATAGAGGATTTTGTAGTTGGTAACTTTGAAAACTTATCTGGCTAAACAACCCATCGTTTCAGACTGTACCAATTGCATGACAATGTCAAACTACATAATCATTAGAAAACCTGACATAAATGTCACTTATCCAAGTAACTGATAAAAATGCTGCAAAGAGCTAGGCAGAGAAAAGAGAGCCATGCATGCACAACATAAAATTCACCTCCTAAACTTCATTTCAATCTGTTTTAATTCTTTCATCTTTCAAGGATTTATTAACACGCCAGGAGGATGGCAGAGGAAGGTGAAAACTCTCATTTGAGGTAGTATTTTGGGCAGATCCAACAAGATAGGATACTTTTAAAACAGAGGCTGGATTTAGTATACTTATAATTGCTTACTTTCCCAGAAACACTCTAGAAGCCAGAAGAAAAAATGTTTCCTCTCGAAAAATCCTTCTAAAGATGCAATAATTCATATCACTACCCAAAGCTTCCTCATCAAAAATGTCTAACAAATGGTGTTTGAACGTGCTGGTAATTATGAAATATCATTTTTCATGACTTTGCTCAGTAAAAGCACAAAAAGACAAAAACACCTAATAAATTATATAACAGAAATTCTCTGCAATATTTCAATTTTTTAAATTATTATTGTATCTGTTATGGTGATGTGTGATCACTGACCTTTTATGTTATCACTGTAACTGGGAGCACCATGAACTGCACCCATAGAAGATAGTAAACTTAAGACAGTCGTGTGTGTTCTAACTGCTCCACCTATGTCTATTGTCCCCTGCCACTCCCATCTTTCTCCTCTCCTTAGACCTTCCTATTCAGCAGACACAATAATATTGAAGTTAGGCCATTATATCGAAATTAATAACTGAAC